GCCGCCGGCGGGGGCGGGGGCGGGCCGGGGGCGGAGAGGCTGAACCAATCAGAAGAAAAGCAGAGAAGGGGGCGGTGGGCTTGGGTTTCAGCCCCCTGGAATAACCGCACCTGGTACTACCGCCCCAGCACTGGAGAGCCTCCGCCCCCGAGACCACCCCAGGAGAGCTCTAGCCCCGAGTTGGGGTTGCGTCCCCAAAATAAGCATTTACTCCGTGGATCGCGCGGGGGTTGGGGGTGGGACAGGAGGTGTGTGAATACACAGTTCTGGAGGGGCTGGCGTTTGGGGAAGGTCAGCGGACAGAAAGGGACTCCTGGAGGAGACACTTAGCCTGAATGGTAAAAGATCAATAAAAGAGAAATGAGTAGGGCCATTTCCACTCGAAGCTTAGGCATGTTGTGGGACGTGCAGAGTAGAGCCTTGGCAGGTGGGAGGCAGAGGGAGGGGGGTGCTTTATGGAGAAACCCCGCTCTGGCAGTCGCCCCTGTCCTCTGCATTTGATTCCAGGAACGGTAGGAAAGTTGGGAGGAGGATGGGGCCAATTCCTGGCCCTTACAAACAGGAGTTATGCGACCATATTCTTCAGCTTGTAAGAGTCAGCAAGGGCCCCACTTAATGTATTTTTCACTCACTCCCTCCACACTCCCCTTTCTCTACCCATTTGTACCTTGTGTTGAAGACATGCCCCAGTAATTAGCCTCTCGAGATACTGTTTATAGTTCGTGTATCTGTTTTTCATATACCTGAAAGGCATTGTACTAAGAACCACTGTGGTTCTTGTTATTTCCCCAACATAATGTAGTGGAAATCTTGAGACTGTATACCAGTCAGTTTATTAGTTCAGCCACGAAAGGCATTGGATCTGTGCATGAAACACGGCTTATCAGTTCCTTGACTACTAGACTGTTAATAGCATCTCCTACCACAGATAGTGCTGGAATGCAGCAGAATTGCTGGGTCATGGAGTCGAGCGCGCTTGTTTTCATTCTGCCAAGTCGGTCCCCAAAATGACTTTGCCAGCTTGTACTCTTCCCACTGGCACATGAAGACAAGAAGATTCCTGTCTCCCCACTTTATCAGCCAACATTTACTATTATCTGATGTCCTAGTTCACATCAATTTGATACTGATCAAAGAGTATTATATGATTTTCTATTTCCTTGATAGTTTTATTATTTTTCCATATTCAAAACTGTAAAGAATTTTTTCCTTCTATAATGAACCTATTTATGCCCTTGCCTATTTTTCTGCTAAACTTCCTATTTTTTTCTGAGTGAATTAAAGGAGTTTCTTATATACTCTGAATACTATCCCTTGTCAGTTTGGCGATTGCAAATACTTCTGCCAATCTTCATGCATCCTGTTAGCCTGTGGTGTGTGCTTTATTGAAGTTTTTGTTGAAGATTCTTTGCCTACCAACAATCACAAAATATTTTTTGACATTTTCTTCTATTTAGCTTCATATTTCTACTTTTCAGTTAACCACCAGTTAATTCACCTGGAGTTCATCTCAAATGCAGTGCAAGGAGAAATACAGTATTATTTTCTGTTCCCCAAGAGTAGGTTTTCCCAGCAGCACCCACCAAACAATCCCTCTTTCCCTGGCTGATGCGAGATGGGGTCTGTTTTGCCAAGTCTCCATAGACACGTGTCTCAGTTTCTGGGCTCACTGCTGTTATATTGATCTAGATCTCTTCCATACCAGGGTTGCCTTGATTTTATTCCAACGGCATTGTTATATGTCCTAACGCCTGGCAGAGTGATGGTACTCCTCCCACTCTGCTTTTTTTTTTTTCCAATATTGCCTCTGAAATTCAAAACAAAACTGATCACTGGTTACCCCCACAGTTGAAATTCAGGCTTTCTCATTCCCACTTTGCTAAGGAGGGATGAAGGGAAAATGGAAGGGGAGCTAGAAGAGAAGAGGTAAAGGTGGGGAGGAGTGGTTTTCCTTAGCAAAGACCTTGCAGTTCCCTTTTCTGTTAGTTTCTGAAATCCTACTTTCCTTTCTGATTTGTAGATGATATTAAATACTTGTAAACTTTACTCTGTGTCAATTAAGTATTATTCTATTTGGATTTTGTTAATAGCATCATCTGAGATTTGATGGCATTTTTAATAGTTGAATGCACAGCCATTACTTTGATGCTCACTGCTTCAGGCAGGAGGTTGAGAAGGGAAAATGTTCAGTCTGATAACTGGAATCTCTAACTGCTATAGTTACCAACCCAGTGTGGCTGCCAGGAAACCTGAGTCCCAGTCCCAATTTAGGCTGAGGGGAGGAAGGAGGCACAGGAAATGACTTGTGCCGCCCTGTTTTCTACCTGAAATATTTTCTAACAACTTGTCTCCAGGCACCCTCACAGGAGCCCTGTTAAACACAAAAGAGCTCTATCACTGTTGCAATTTCACAGATAATGAACCTGAAGCTCAAAAAGTTATGAGACTTAGGCATGTGTGCATTGCTAAGGGAAACTTCACTCTCTGGCCTCACTTTACTCATCTCTAAAATGGGAATAATAACAATAGTAGTGCTTGGCCAAAATGTTTTGCAAATTAAATGAGATAATATGCAAACAGTCCTTGTACATTATAATCACTTAGTGTTTGCTATTGTTATCACCAGACCAGTGGCGGCCTGCCTTCTGGTTCAGAAAAGATTCACTACATTGTGCTAAATGTACTGATTATCAAGAAGGAAGAAAAATGCTTCCCCAAAGATGTCCAGGTCCTAATCTCTTAAAGCTGTGGATATGTCCTTATGTGAACTTTAGAGATGTGTCTAATTTCAGGATTTGGAGACGAGATCATGTTGGATCATCCCAGAGGACCTAATATAATCACAAGCCTCCTCATCAGTGAAAGAGGCAGAAAGATCAGTGTCAGATTGATGGGACACAAGAGAAACTTGACTGGCTTAGAAGATGGGATGGAACAGCCAAAACTCCTCCCCAGAGCCTCCAGGTGTAGCCCTGGTGACACATTTATTTTAGCCAGCAAAACCCAGTTCTAAGTTGTAAAATTGCAAGACAATCCATTGTTGTTATTCTGAGCCTGTTTGAATTGGTGGTGATTTGTTACAGTGGGAAAGTCATGCAATTGCCTGTATGGGAAGGATTTTTACCCTGGACCATACATAAAAATCAAGGTCAGGTGAACAAAAAACCTGCACATTAGAAAGGCCAATCTTTCAAACTTTCAGACACGTCCAGGCCGGGATCCTGCTCCTCCTTCAGTGCCTTCTTCCGCGTCTGAGCACATGGCAGGTGCCCACCAGCCACAGCCGGAGCAGATCCTGTCCAAATCCTGCAGCCAAGCTGGCAGCTGCTTCCTGCAGCTTCCTTCCCTCTCTTCCGCTGGGTTCAGGTGACCTGGATGAGATGCCTATGGGGCCATGGCTGTTGGCATCTGCCCAGCACCTAGGAAAGGCCCTGCTACTGCTCACTGAGAAAGTGAAGAGAGAAAGGAAGAGGGGGAGAGATCAGGGAGCACAGAGCAGAGGCCGGCTCCTCTGGCCCACCACCACCACTGCCCATGGCTCACTGGAGCCCTTGTATCTGGTCTTCCTCTTTTAAAATGGTGCCTAGCATGGTCAGAGTGACCCTGCTGACACACAAGGCACTTTATCCACTAACCCAGGCCTTCTCAACCTTATTAGGGCACCCCTCATGCCCCGCTAGTTCTCTGTGGGAGGGCTGAACAGTGCATTGGAGGATATTCAGCAGCACCCCTGGCCTCCGCCCACTAGAGGTCAGTATTCTATCTGACAGCGCTTACCCTCCCCATGTGACAAAGGGAAATATCTTCAGGCATTGCCAAATGTCCCCTAGTGGCAAATCCCAAGCTCCCCAGACCCCCTGAAAACCACTATTCTAAACTCAGCAGTTGCTTCCCATCCTAGAAAACCTCACATCCCTGCACCTGTCAAATCTCCTGGCCTCCGTTCCTCCCTCACCTGGCCTGTTTCCCCATGTGCCACTGCCTCCTTGCTCTTCTCCAACACTTGAGGTCCGACGCCCTCAGAGTCATGGAGGCCCCCGGGGTTGCTGCTCCACCACGTCTCAAATAATTCACTCCATCTCCCCCTCCAGGATTTTACCTTCTCAGAAAGGCCAACTCAGGATCCTTTCCTGAAATTAAAACGTCACTATGTTAGCAAGCTCATGTCTGCAAAATGCCACTGAGGTCTTCAACAACAGAAATGTGTTGTAGCAGAGTTCTGGGACTGGAGGTCAAGGTCAAGGAGTGGTAGTTTGGCTTCCCTGAGGCCTGTCTGCTTGGCTTGTAGGCAACCACTTTCCGGGGTATCCATTTCTGTGTGCAGTATCCCTGGGGGCTCTGCATCTCCAAAACATGCTCTTCCCATAACACCAGCTGAATTGGGTTAATGGCCCATTTTAACATAATCGCCTCTTGAAAGTCCCATCTCCAAATACAGTAACACCCTCAGGGACTAGGGGTGAGTGGGCTTCAGTAGATGGATTTGGAGGGAACACAACTCAGTTCCTAACATCCACCATCACCACCACTGGTGCTTATCAATCTAACATTCTGAGCATTTAACTTACTCGCTCACTTAAAGTATTTTTTCCTCCAATCCTCCACTCAAATGTCATGTTCCACAAGGGTGGGGATTTTGCCCATTGAACTCACCACGGCATCCCAGGATCGAGAATGAAGCCTGACATATAGTAAGTAATTATTGGTTAAAGCAACGAATAGGCACAGCTTCTCCATTAACCAGCTGTAAACCGCTGGATCTCAGCTCCCCATGTCCGATGAGGGAATGGAGCTAGATGCTGTAGAATTGGCCAGAAGATCACTCAGCCCCAGCAGATGAGGAAGGGGCTGCGGGGAGCAGAGCCTAGCAGACACAGGCCGGTGGACAGGAAGTCCTTTTGAAGTCCCCCTGGGGACTCCATGGCCCCAGCACCTACCCATGAAACTCCTCGAGGGGGGTCCCAGCCCCTCCCCTGCCAGGTGCAAGGTGGAGTGCCCCCCTCAATCCCCTTGTTACAACAGGCTCTGGGCATCCCGCTGCCCTCAGCCCTCCTCCTTACTAACCCCTCAGTGCCTCTTCACCTTCACTTCCAAACTCTTCTGAAACACCAGCCACCCCTCATCTTTCCCTGAGGGGAGCGGGCGTTCACTACCATGGCTGCCCGCCTCCAGAGGGGGTGTTTCCCTCAGGCGTGGGCTGCTTTGGGTTGGACCCGCACTGGAGGGCAGATTCCTCCCTGCCGAGGTGATGACACATGCAAGCTGAGAGCAGATTGCTCGCTGTCTCCGGGGAGGCAGTGGACAGGGAAGCAGCACACGGTGTGCGGGCCTGGGGAGGGGTGTCCACAGAGCCATGTCGGGGTGAGGGACCAGAGAGCAAGGAGTTGAAGGTTTGACTACTCTGCCGCCTTCGAGGCAGCAGGAGGCTGATGACAGGGCTGGGCCCCACGGCCCTGGGTGTGGGTGCAAGAAGCTGCAGACACACTTGACTGTCAAGGTGGGGGTGATGGTTACCCTGGTGACCGGGCTGGGAAGTGGGTTGGCCTACCAGGCAGGAATATTGGAGAGAAAATATAACAAGCACCATTTAGGGCTTCTCTCTCTCCCTCTCTTCTTTTTTGATAGGAAGCAAAGGACCAGTGCCAATGGCTGGGTCCAGCGTTTCCTCTTCTGGTCCCCTGTGAACACCCCACTCTCACCTCGAAGCGGGGCCCTAGTCCTACCTAGTCCTGGATCTGGAGCCACGCACTGCCCCCCTCCGGGCCTTGCTCAGGCCAAGCAACCTCCTTTTGTATTCTGACTCTTGGGCCCAACCTAGGAATCTGCATTGTAGCTGTTCCCCCCACCCAGCCACACACCCAGGTATTCTGCACTTCAGAACCAAACTTAGCATTGAGAGCCCAGACATAGGAATCAGACAGACCCAGATTCTCACCTCAGCGCTGCTGTCTCCTGGTACAATTCACCTACAGCCTCAGCCTCCTCACCGCTATAATGGGAGGAGGGGTCCCCAGCCACTCAACTGCAGCATGAGGGTCAGGATGAGCCTGCAACCCACAGCACAGCACCTGGCACGTGATGACGATCTGACTCGTGTGATGCTTTCCGCTGACTGTTCCATCTAAGTCAGGAGTCTCTCTCCACCCGCTGCCCCTTCCCGACACCCCCTCCATCTGCTGGTTCTTCTCTGGTCAAATCCCCACATCCAGAAAAACAGTCACTGTAATAAGCAAGGAGTCCTGGGGCTAGAACTCAGGACCAGAAGGAGACAGCAGCGCTCACAGCTGGGGCCTGGGGCGCTCACACTTGGCTCGGCTCTGGTTAATCCGTCGTCATGACAACTCGGAGCTTTCCCCAAGCTCTGTGGGGTAAAATGACCTTCCTCCAGCACCCAGGGCTCTGGATGTGATCGGTCATTTTACCCAGATGGGAGGGAGCCAGGTCCCCTCCCAACCACTGTGCCTTCCTTTCTGGATGAACTGAGGGCTCCGGCTGACGCCTACTTAACCTGCACTTCAAAACCCAGCGCCTAAGCAGTGTCTGCCACACAGCAGGCACTAGAGAAACGCCGGTCAAGGGAAGGGATACATGTGGTAGATATCGGATGGAACGAGATGTGGTGCAGGGAAGATGGAAAGAGGCCATGAAAGGTTCTGGTGTCTCCGTGAGCAGCTGCCTTCGCCATGGTACCATTACCCCGGGAGCCTGTGGCCAGTCTCCCTTCTCACGTCCTGACAAGTGGGGGAAGCAGGCAGAGGCGGGTGAGCTGCTGTTCTGTGGCCACAGGGTCTCAGAATAATATGAGCGGCGGCCCTCCCTGGCGGCCAGCCCTGCAAAGCTGGCCACAGCCACCTCAGGGCCTGTTCGATCCCGCCCTGGAGGTGCGATCCCCGCATGGCGCCGCAGACCTCTCCTGTCTCACCGGCTGCTCCCCTCAGCAGTGCATTTCACTCAAGCTGCCTATCTGCTCCCCACTCTGTCCCTCGTGAATCCTCTCACCGCCGCTGCACCACTGGCCTGTGCCCCAGTTCTGTATGCATAAATACATAAACCTTTTTTAAAAAAAAGAATATGAGCGTCTCTCCTGCCCCATCCACCCCCATCCTCTCTGGGAAGAAGCGCTCTTCTCCAAAGCCTTGAGCTGGCCCGTACATGTGCCAATTAGCATATGGTGAAAAACTGGTGACGATGGCTTTCACGCCCAGTGCAATTCCGCACCACCCTTACCAACAAGGCCTTGTCCAGAACTGAGGCTGATAGGCGCCACACAGGTGGGGGTCCTGCAGGCTCACATCAGCCGAGTCACCGTCTCCATCAGCACCACGCTCCAGAACCAAGCATATGACGGAGGCACCAAAGGACAGGGCGAGGTTCAAGCTCTCTGGCTGCCAGAAAACCTGCATCTCCAAAAAGTGGCACTTTAGCAAGCTATAGTCGGGTGCGCGTGATGACATGGTGGTGGAAAAGTGGCTCGTCCCAAGCGAGAGGTCAAACACTTCCCCCACTGTGCCCCATGGACAGAGTGTGTCTGGCACTCATGGAAGCCTCAGAGCTGTTCTTCCCTTAGTTACACCCAAATAAAACCTAATTTCTATCCCCTCTCCCCACAAGAGGTGGAGTTAAGACTCCAGGCACCTGTCATTTGATTTCTCCCCCACCGATCGGAGACAGACTGTCCCCTGCCTCTTTAATGGCCTTAATATACTACTCTATGACCCTCCTGAGACAACTCAACAGCCCCCCAACTTTGGAAGTAGTGTTGCCTCAACAAATGTGTGCATCTAAGTGCTTCTGAACCATCCTCCTCTCTGCTGAGAACCTCCCCCTCTTGCAAATGACAATGTTCATGACACTCAAATCTGATCCACGCTACAGCTGATGAGCAAATCATGTGGTTGGAAGAGGCTTACATTGAGTCGACTCAGGAGTTTTTTAAAGATTATCTATAAGATGAACATCTATTCCATCTCCATTTATAGACAACTGAGCTTTGAGTGATGAGGCCTGTACTCAAGAAATAACATGTACACTCAAGAAAAAATATGTATTAAACACTTACTATGGGCAGGCAGGGCCAGCTTTGGGGGTCCTCAGATGCTCACACAGGGAAGCCCAGAGCTCCAAAGGGCCCCGAGCTTGAGGCTTAATGCTTTCCTCTCATCATAATAGTCTTGCCAACTTTATATAGATCGATAGATTTTTAAATATTTATTTATTTCTGCATACAGGAACTGGGGTACAGACCAGAGGTGCAGGGGTGAGGAGATTCACCAGAGACAGAGAAGGGAGTAGAACAAGCAGATGTACTGAAATACACTGCTGAGGGGAGTAGTGGACAGGAGAGGTCTGCTGGGCCATGTGTGTCAGCTCCCTGGCCAGGGATCAAACTCATGCTGAAGTGGCTGAGGCTAGCTTTGTAGTGTGGCACTTTAACTCGTTGTGCCACCAAGGAGGGCCCCCAGCTTTATCTTTGAACTTTTTTTTTTTAAGATTTATATATTTATGCATACAGAACTGGGGTATAGGCCAGAGGTATAGGGGTGGTGAGAGGATTCACCAGAGACAGAGCGGGGAGCAGAACAGGCAGACTGACGAAGTACACTGCTGAGGGGAGCAGCCGGCGAGTTGGGAGAGGTCTGCCGTGCCTGTGGGTCACCTCCCAGGCTGGGGATCAAACTCACATCCAAGCCGCTGCAGCTAGCTTGCAGTGCTGCATTTCAACCCTTTGCACCACCAGGGAGGGCCAGAACTTGTATTTTGCAAGGAAAGTCTGATGTCATGCTGAGCATGCGCACAAGCAGAGGAAAACAGCGCAGTCCCTGCAGACAAGTTCCGCAGTCCCTGGGTTTGGGGTTGGGTGTGGTAGCCATTGCCACACTGGTTTGTTTTATGATTCAGACTCCAGAGCCAGGAAGGGAAGCAGTGCTACCCAGCTGTGGCCAGCCTCACCGCCTCACCACCCTCCCACCCTCCTCTGGGGTGTGCACACACCACACCTGCCATGGAAAGCTGTTCTGACTTTCTGTCCTGTGCGCTCACCTCTGGGGCAAAAGGAAGTGACACCTTTTTCAAGCCCAGAGTGAATAACATATTCACTCTAACAGGAATATTTTCTGGTTTATTTATTCCTTTAAAATATTTATTGGGCCTGCCTGGTGGCCAAGGGGCTGAGCACAGCACTGTGAAGCTCTCTGCAGCTGCTGCAGCAGTTCAATCCCCGGCCAGGGAGGCGGCCCACAGGGCACAGCAGACCTCTCCTGTCTCTCCGGTGCTCCTCTCAGCTGTGTATTTCAGTCCACCTGCTTGTTCTGCTGTCTCTGGTGAATTCTCTCACCTGGCATCTCTGGCCTGGACCCCGGTTCGTGAATGCATAAATAAATAAATCTTTTTAAATAAATAAATATATAATTATATTGAGTTTTATTTACCATCCGATCCCCTTACAGCACATTGTCCCTTTCTCCCTCCCTCTTGCCCTCAGAAGCCTTACTTTGTTTACTTGTTTCATATTGTTTATAAACATTTTGCTTTGTCAGCTCCTCTGCTATGTATCTAAATGTCCGATGTTGTCTCTCTCACTCCGACTGGCTTCGCTGCACACCATCCTTCAACCCCTACTTTTCTGTAAACGACAACATTTCGTCTTTGCTATGGTTGAATAATATCCCATAGTGTGGCTTAACAAAAGTATTTATAAACCACCCTCCACGCCGGCGCCATGATTGGAGCTAAGAGAGGACATAGGGTAAATGAGAAGCCTGCCCGTGCGACTTCTGATCCGAGTAGGGGTAGACACAGGTCTACCAGGTGCAGCTTCATGAACACATCAGTGTTCCAAAGCTCAAAACTCGTTATCATGACTCCAAAGTTACTTCTAAGAGAATTAGAGCTAGGTAGAGAGGGTGCCATGTAACTTATGCCCATGGATAAATGAATTCTTATACTAGCCACTTCTTCCCCTTAAAAATACCAATGGGGGCCCTCCCTGGTGCACAGCGGGTTAAAACACAGCACAAAGAAACTAAAGCCACTTCCGCATGAGTTCGATCCCCGCCTGCCCCGGAGGTGACCACATGGCGCGGCAGACCTCTCCTGACCTGCCCGCGGCTCCCCTCAGCAGTGTACTTCGTCGATCTGCCTGTTCTGCTCCCCACTCTGTCTCTGGTGAAGCCTCTCACCGCCCCTGAGCCTCTGGCCTGTACCCCAGTTCTGTACGCAAATAAGTAAATCTTTAAAAAAAAATACCAATGGGGAGTTATGGGGAGGGAGGGACAGGAGATTGCCACAATGACTCTCTGCCCATCAAAAGTAGCCCTTGAGTCACCAGGAGTGGGGAGGGAGTAAGAATCCCCTTTTGAGGGGAAAGAAGAGAGAAGACCACTCAAAAACAGGTATAGAAATGAAAAGACTTTTAAAAGATAGTGATGTCATATATTCAATATTAAGTGGTTGGCATTACTCAGTGTAAAGGAAAAAAATTGCCAGTAAATCACCGATAAAATCTGTCCCACGGACAAAGACCCTAGTCCCAAGGGGGGCTTCTCCACGATGAAGAAAACATTTTACATCTGCCAAAGTGTCTGGTTTGGGGCAAGAAACTGATGCATATTTATTATGAGAAAGAAAAAACAGAAGGAATGTGCAATGATAGAGCCAACTGAGAGCATGAGCAGCAGTCTACCAGCAGAGGGGTCTGCCAGCCCGTACGTCTGGGTACACCTCACAGACAGGGGACATGCTAGCAGCAGCTTCCAGAGGACGTGGGATAGCTGAAGGTGTTGTTAATCTGTATCTGGAGGTAAGCAGAGGCTGTGGCCCCAACGACCCAAAGCTCTTCACAGTCAACCTGCCTCAGAAGGGCTGACATGCAGATGGGCTGGACTGAACCGGTGCCTGCATTCCTGAACACCACCTCCCAGGGCCACGTCGGAGACCCATATTGGGGTCTCTGAGGCCCAGCACCCTAAACTTGTTTACCTTGGCACATGATGCTCTCTGCAGTCCATTGCCACCTGTTTCTCCACAACACCCGCTCCTGCTCCTTCCTGACTCACAGGGCTCTCTGTTTCATAAGAGGGGGGAGCTTGGTTTCTCTCCTGTGTCACCATGTAATTACTGAGAACAATAATTTGAACAATGAGCACTTATAATTCTCTGGCAACATGCAAAAGTACTATCATTTCACAACAAAATAATCTCCTGAGTCTTGAGTAATGGAAACCATTATGCATGAGTTCATCTGGTAAGCTGAAGCTTCAACGCGAATGGAATTAGAGTCATTCATTTGTTCATTCATTCATTCGCTCACTTAACACATATTTACAGAACACGAGCAACTGGAAAGCAGGGCACACCACAGAGACTAGAATCTAGCCCTATTCCCTCCCACATCTTGATCCACAGGTCCAGAACAATGACTGATGCAAGGCTCTTCGGGAAGGATAACATACATCACCCAAGAACATTCTGGATACCATCTTTGAGGAACACACTACAGGGGCTCAGGCCAGAAACCCCCTATACAGTCCCGAAGACGACACAATGGGTTGACCTGGGCCTGAGTCCTTGGCTTGTCCCTCACTACCTAAGCAGCCTGAGACATGTGTCCTCTCTTTTCTGGACCTCTATTGCAGGAGCTAAAAAGGAAATAATGTACATCCTTCAAGACCACTCAAGCAATAGGAAACAGGAGGAATTGATAGATCTTATCTTAATGCATATCTTAAGAATAGATATTCTATGCAGCTCCAAGCAAATCATTATGACTCAAAGCATAGCACATGTTACCTGGCAGGCATAAACAGACAAGATTAGTTCCTCTTAAAATTAGCTCCGAGCCCATGAAATCATTTCAAGAACACTAGCGCTTTCAAGCTCTTTGTTAAGTGACTACACTGGAAGAGTCTGAAGAAGAAATCAACGCACGCACAAAATGTCCATCTACATTCAATAGTGACTCTAGCTCTTGATTCACCTGAACCCAGACACAAACAAGACGTACTTAACAGTTTTTAGTTTGTTGCTAAGAAACCATGACTGCCTGGTATGAGTATATGGCCACACTGTCTTGTGTCAACTCATTATGCCAACGTAATTAAAGTGAACTTAACACTGGAGATTAGTATGCGGGGTTGCCTTTTTCATCACCTATACAGTTAGTCTATCAATGGCCAGAGGCCCAAAGAATATTTTCCACAACCAGATAAAAGAAAGAAGTCCAGGAAGAACTGAGATCAGGTAGAGGGAGGGAGGAAATACGATTCTTTTTTTCTAAAACTTTTTTTAAAAGGTTTATTTCTGCATACAGAACTGGGGCACAGGCTAGAGAAGCTGGGGCAGTGAGAGGATTCGCCAGAGACAGAGTGGGGAGCAGAACAGGCAGACTGATGAAGTACACTGCTGAGGGGGGCAGCCGGCGGGTCGGGAGAGGTCTGCCGCGCCTGTGGGTCACCTCCCAGGCTGGGGATCGAACTCACACTGAAGTGGCTACAGCCAGCTTGCAGTGCTGTGCTTTAACCCGTTATGCCACCAGGGAGGGCCAGAAATATGATTCTTTACATGACAGCCCACAAAGGGGTCCCAACTGGAGGCAGCCCGTTCACCTGGCCTTCTTCCCTTCCACATCCTGCACTGTCACACTCGTCAGGTGAGCACACCTGGAGCTTGATGCCATGAGGGAAGGAGAGCAAAGAGGGAGGAGGCAACATCTCCACTGTCGTGGTCATCAGTACCCTACACCCCTCCCTTCTCCCAGTCCTAGGAGAACAAAGGCTGGTGGGAACATGGTGGCACACTCCCACCCAGGAGTGAGCAGGTCAAAGGCCACTAGTGCTTCCTTCTCAGAGGCCCGAACCACCATCAGTCTGCCCCAGACGGCTGGGTCTCCACCAGCCTGTTGGTGGCTACAGTTACAGTTACTACAGAATTCCACAAGCACACTGGAGCCCAGAAATACATGAGATGGTTGGTTTCTGGGCTTCTGGAGGAGGACTGGTAAATCACTGATTCTTGCAAGGAAGTAAATGCTCTCCAGATACCTCAAAATGATTCACTCCCTCTGCTGGATTTAAATTCACTGACCCCACCTCACTGGTGAT